TTCCTGCCTCAGCACTGGCAAAGAGATCCCTGCAATTCTCCTCTGACCAGCCACTTGATTCCCCTTCAGTCTGTGGGCCAGAAGCTCAGGAGGCAGCCGCTGCCCCAGGGCCGTGCTAGGGAATTGGGGCTGGGACCCCACACTCCTCTCTTACCACCGCAGAAACAGACTTTTTCCCACTGACCTTCTAAGTTGTCTTTGGTGTTGGTGGGTTGAGAAGTCTGGAAACCGCCATAGCTGTCTGCGATTCAGTCCTCCGAGGCCTGTGTCAGGTTCGCTGTGGCCTGCACACTCATGCCACACTGCGCTCCTCTGCCCACCCAGCGCGATATACCTTTCTGATCAGCCATCCAGGTTGTCTTGCACTGGAAATTTGTTTCACCCTGTCTTTTTGTGGGTTCTGCTGCTTTAGAATTTGTTTAGAGCCATTTTTATAGGTTTTTGGAGGAGTTTGGAGGAGAGCTGAAGCAAGTCACTGCTTTCACTCTGCCATGTTGGCTCCACCCCGAGAGCTAGTTTCAAAAGTCAGGAAGACCTGGGTTTAAGTCCTACCTCTGAGGGCTTTCAATGCCAGGCAGAGAGAAGGATGTCTATATAGGTAGGCAACAGAGAACCACTGAATGTTTCTGAGCAGAGAACTGAGAGATAGATTGGAGGGGACAGAAAGAGGAGGCCAGATCCCTAAAAGGAGGATGAAAAGAAACCCAAGTAGACAAGGGATTATTATGACGGAGGGCATGGCAGGTAGGAGAGCAAGTGACCTGTGAGGCAAGCAGGTGGTGGCACCAGGGGAACAAGTAGGTCCTCAGGATCCAGGAGGCATGGAAAGCGGGATCAGGACCCAGCTCCAGGTACTAGGAGGCCAAGGCAAGGCCCTAATCCTAGAGAATCTGAAGTCTAGAGCTTAGAAGAGACCTTCAGGGCCATAGAGGCCACCCCCCGCATTTTACAGTTGAGGTAACTGAGGGGGCCCAGGGACACACAGCCAGCATGTCAGAGGCAAGATTTGAACCCAGGTCTTTATTGATTTTGAGTCTAGTGTCCCATCTAGAATGCCACACTGCTTATTACAGTAATGGAGGTAAGGGTCTGAAACCAAGATAGTGGCCTGGGCATAGGAAAGGGTTTGGGCATGCATAATACTTTAGTCCATCCCCCAATCATCTCCTATTATGTGTCAGGCACTGTGCCAAGAGCTGGAGATAGGCTGGAAGCCAGTCACTAGTGCAGGCGGGTCAAAGGAGGATCACCAACAAAGCTAGCTTCTCCTGAGGTCCCACTAGGCCCGACTGGCCATATAGGTCCTCCTCTCTTCCTAGCCTCGACTCAACGTGAGTCAAAGATTGTAAGTCAGGGTTCAGTGGTCCCATTGGGAAGGGATTCGTGGGCAGGGGTCTAAGCCAGGCCTTCCTTCCCCAGGCTTCTAGGCAAGTTCCCAATTCAGGCCCCAGGAGTCTGTGTGTGGCGCCAGGTAACCAGCCTCACAGCTCCATGTAGCTTGGTGCCTGAGACGCTGTCAGGGGAGAGCAGCAGGTCTGGTCTGACAAGGGAGGGTGTGTCACCCTCAGCCCTGAAACAGAGTTTCCAGACCTCGAAACCAGGTCCCAGAATGACAGCTGGCACATAGGCCCAGCACTCTCTGGACTGGGAAGGACCGTTAAGCCCATAGAAGTGGTAGGGTGGCTAGGCTCCAATGCAGGATAGGCTACTAGGAGAAACAACATACCTGGAGTCAGGAAGAGCTGAGTTCAAATTCCATCTCAGATACTTTCTAAATGTTTGGCCCTGGCCAAGTCACTTCACTGCTCTCTGCCTCAGTTTCCCCAACTGTAAAATGAAGATAATAATAGCACCTCCCTCCCAGGGTTGTTGTGAGGATCGAATGAGATAACATATTTATGACACTTTGCACTCTTAAGGTACTATATAAATACTAGCTATTCATGTAATTTGGAGGGGCTGTTGAATCTTACCTCAATATCTTAACTCTTCTCCCACCCCAGCCCTACAGCTCAAGGACAGGCACTTGTTATCCACAGGCTCCTAGGCCTAGAGATGACAAAGCCTCAGAGACTGTGCCCTCTAACCCCCTTCTGTTACTGTAGGGGAAACTGAGGCCAGAGAGCTGAAGGAACTGCTGTGAGATCACTCCTAGGCTCCTAGGCCTAGAGTTCTCAGGGTCCTCAGAGACCATGGAGTCCAACCCCCTCCTGTTACTGAGTAGGAAACTAAGGCCTGGAGAGCTCCTAGATTCATGGATGATAGGGGCCTTCAAAGACCAGGTAGTATACAGAGGGGGAAATTGAGGCCCAAGGAGAAGTGTTTGCCTAAGATCACACCTAGCGTCCTAGAGCGAGAGTTATAAGGGATATTGGAGGCCTTTTAGTTCTCAATTTACAGGAAACTGAGGTCCTATCTCTCAACCCTACTGTTCAGCCCCATTCCCGGTGCTTCCCCTCCATCATCGGGCTCACAGCAACGACTGGGCACTCCTTCAGACCCTCCTGCACCTCAAACACACTCTGAGCCCCTTAAAAACAGGGACCAGTACCTTCTATGTCCTTCATTGAATAGCACAGTATTCTGCATACAGTCAGTGCTTAATCAGTGTGTGTGACTGAATGCATTCTCAAGTTATACTGTGACCCTTAAGGGACCATTCAGGGCCCTCTCCAGTTGAGTCCAAAGCTACCTTGCTCAGTTCCTTTCTTCCAGTCACATGAGTGTGCCTTTCCCTAAGGTCCCCATATTCCCTACTATGGCTGCTGCCATCTGCCCTCCCTGGCCTCCACCCCATTCTCACCACCTCCCACTGCCACCTCTCCAGTTTTGGGCACATTTGGACTTTGTTCTACCTCTCCAACAACTGCTCCAACTTTTTTTTTTATTTGATAGTATTTTATTTTTTCCAATTATATGTAAAGATCATTTTCGACATTCATTTTTCAAAAGATTTTGAGTTCCAAATTTTTCTCCCTCCCATTCCTTCTCCCCAAGACTGCAAGCAAACATATTTCCACATTAGTCATGTTGTAAAAGGAGAAATAGAACAAAGGGAGAAAACCACCAAAAAAAGTGAAAATAGTATGCTTTGATCTGCATTCAGATTCCATAGTTCTTTCTCTGGATGTGGACAGCATTTTCTATCATGAGTCTTTTGGAATTGTCTTAGATCATTGTATTGTTGAGAAGAACTAAGTCTATCGTAGTTGATCATTATACAGTGTGGCTGTTACCGTATACAATGTTCTCCTGGTTCTGCTCACTTCACTCAACATCAGTTCATGTAAGTCTTTTCAGGTTTTTCTGAAGTCAGCCTGTTCATCATTTCTTATAGCACAGTAGTATTCCATTACATTCATATACTACAGCTTGTTCAGCCATTCCCCAATGGATGGGCATCCCCTCAATTTCCAATTCTTTGCCACCACTAAAAGAGCTGCTATAAATATTTTTGTACATGTGGGTCCTTTACCCTTTATTATGATCTCTTTGGGATACAGATCTAATAGTGGTATTGCTGGATCAATGGGTATGCACAGTTTAATTGCCCTTTGGGCATAGTTCCAAATTGCTCTCCAGAATGGTTGGATCAGTTCACAACTCCACCAACAATGCATTAGTGTTCCAATTTTCCCACATCTTCTCCAACATTAATTATTTTCCTTTTCTGTCTTATTAGTCAACCTGATAGGTGTGAGGTGGTACCTCAGAGTTGTTTTCGTTTGTATTTTTCTAGTCACTGGTGATTTAGAACTACTCCAACTTTAAAGCCCACCCAGCCATCCCTGCTCCCAAAACAGACTGAGAGGACCATTCGCTTGGTAATTAATCAAGGTCATGAAGGATGTCTAGCACTGGATTAGAATTTTATTGATCTCTCCACTTGTTCAACTTTGCCTGGGTTTAGGTCATGCTTGTGGGCAAGGACCAGATATTATTCTTGAATCGTAGAATGTCAGAGCTGGGAAGGGCCTTAGAGGTGAATATCAAACTTCAGTGGGAGATAGAAAGGTTAGCAATTTTTCTGATTACCATTACAGAAGCCAAGACTTCAGAGAGGGAAAGTGCATTTCCCCAGGCTATACCACGTAATTAGAGGCAGAGGTGGCAGGGCTAGCCCGTGGGTAGCTTGTCTGTGGTTCTCTTTTACCTTCTCTGGTGCCAAGCAGCAGCACCATACACACCACAGAAGCCAAGGCTTCAGCTCCCACCACTTCTCTCTCCCTTTCACACTCTTTCCCCTCTGGCTCAGCCTTCCTTGGCTTGGGTTTCCAAGTCTACTTTGTTCCAGATGTGACTTATAGGTCCAGTAAGGCTCTCAGCAGTGTGCCCACTGCCCGTCCATGTCCAAGAGCCCTTTCCTCTCAGGATGGGAACAGTAATGAGAGACCACACGTTCATTGCCCTTTGCCTCATACAAAGCTCCCTGTGTAAGTATAATCATCTTCCTTCTTTTTACAGAGGAAGAAACTGAGGTTCGAAGGAGGGAAATCAACAACATACTGTGTGCTAAATGCTGTACTTGACAATGGGGAAAATAGCAAGATTGTCATTCATTCGGGAGCAGATATACAAATACACAAAATGAAATGAATCCCTCCGCTTTGAGGAGCTAACATTCTTGTGTGTGTGTGTGTGTGTGTGTGTGTGTGTGTGTGTGTAAGGCAATCAGGGTTAAGTGACTTGCCCAGGGTCACACAGCTAGTAAGTGTCAAGTGTCTGAGGCCAGATTTGAACTCAGGTCCTCCTGACCCCAGGGCCCAGTGCTCTGTACCACCTAGCTGCCCTAGGTGGTGGGCCATAGTTCCCCATCTAGGAAGTGGCAAAGCCGGGCCTTGGCCCCAGGTTTTCTGACTCCAGGTCAGATGGGTACAGGCTGAAGTTGGGCTTCGAGCAGTAAGCCCTTGCGCTACCTGGAGACTTTCTTTACAGGTCCCACTGTCAGCTGTTTGGGGCTCTGAGTGATAATCCCATGCTTACCTTTTCCTCCCCCATAGCCCGGAAGCTAAAGAAACTTGGGAACTTGAAGCTGCAGGAGGAAGGCGAGGCCTCCAGCTCCACCAGCCCCAATGAGGATCAGGGGCAGAAGCTCACAGTTTCCCACATTGAAGGCTATGAATGCCAACCCATTTTCCTGAATGTCCTAGAGGCCATCGAGCCAGGCGTGGTGTGTGCTGGCCATGACAACAACCAGCCTGACTCCTTCGCTGCTTTGCTGTCCAGCCTGAATGAGCTGGGAGAGAGGCAGCTGGTGCATGTGGTCAAGTGGGCCAAGGCCCTGCCTGGTAAGGGGGATGGGAAGACGAGGGAGGACAGCCAGGCAGGGCAGCAGGTGGGGTACCAGGACTCTTCCACCAGACAACACAATAGGGGAGATCTTTAGAACTGGGAGGGGCCTGAGAACAGAGAAAGTCAGTGCTGGTAGGGGCCCTGGAACAAAGGATGTCAGAGCTGGGAGGGCCCTTAGAGCAAAGGATGTCAGAACTGGAAGGGGCCCTAGAACAGAGGATTTCAGAGCTGGGAGGGGCCCTAGAACAAAGGATGTCAGAGCTGGGCGGGCCCTTAGAACAGAGGATGTCAGAGCTGGGAGGGGCCTTAGAACACAGGATGTCAGAGCTGAGAGGGCCCTTGGAACACAGGATGTCAGAGCTGAGAGGGCTCTTAGGACAAAGGATGTCAGAGCTGGGAGGGGCCCTAGAACAAAGGATGTCAGAACTGGGAGGGGCCCTAGAACAAAGGATGTCAGAGCTGGGAGGGGCCCTAGAACAAAGGATGTCAGAGCTGGGAGGGCCCTTAGAGCAGAGGATGTCAGAGCTGGGAGGGCCCTTAGAGCAGAGGATATCACAGCTGGAAGGGCCCTTAGAGCAGAGGATGGCAGAGCTGGGAGGGCCCTTAGAACAGAGGATGGCAGAGCTGGGAGGGTCCTTAGACCATGGAAACATGGAATGTCATACCTGGAAGAGACATTAGAAATTATCTAGGCCACCTCCCTCAAGTTGTACCAGGCTATCAGATTAATGGAAGACTGAACATACATGGACAGAGTAATATCACCTAAAAATCAGAAGAAAATGAATCTAACACCCTCTATCAGCACATATCATTGTTCTTTTATGTAAATACTACAGGGATCTGAGTGGGAGCTCTCTCATGTGCAGAGCACATCCCACCTCTAGGTTGCTAGCTCACTCTCAGAGTCTGAGAGAGGTTCAGCTATTTGCCCAAAGTCCTACAGTGAATCTATGTCAGCAGTAAGATCTGCCCAGGTGGTCCTGGGCAAGATCCACTGCTCAGCTAGGCCACTTCAGGAGTTACCTTACATATGGTAATTAGCCCTAAATGGTATACTGTTCTCCTAAATGACTAATTAGAAGTCCTTTCACAGAACTGAGCCAAATTAATTTGGCTCCATATAAACAGCATTAGCGTTCACAATTGTCCCTGATCTCGTGTACAGTGTAATTCCCCAGGCATCTCCACATGCACTCATGCACACCTCGAGCCTCACGTGTGCATGTGTGGTACACATAGGAATACACACACGCTGACAGCACTCGTGGGGTCCCGTTCCTCCAGAATCCAGCTCTTTCACACTCTGGCCTCTCTGAGCCCAGAAATAATGCCCAGGAAGCCATATTCTCAAAGGATTGACAGCTCATTCATTCCATGAACCCAAAATAAGAATCACTTGATACTGTGGCAAGAGCGATAGATTTAGAGTCCAAGGTCCTGGATTCAAATCCAGTTTCTGCTGCTTATTAATTGTGTGGCCTTGGGCAAGTCACTTGGTGAAGTGACTTCTGGGGCCTTGGTTTCCTCTTTTGTAAAATAACAAGCTTGAACTCAATGGCCTTGGAGGTTCCCTCCATCTCTAGAGCCACAGCTTTTTTCAGACCTTATACAAGTCACTTCCCCTCTTGGGCCTCAGTTTCCTGATCTGTCATATGAGGGAATTGGACTTAGTAGTCGCTAAGGTCGTTTCTAGCCCTCTACATCTAAGATCCTTTCTTGAATGAGGAACTAAGTGAACCAGAGGGTTCCCTGGGGAACAGGCAGTGCCCTGGGGGCAGAGCTAAAAATTGGCCCCAAGTGGCCTGACCTCCAGACCAGACCTCTGTCCCCTGGGACATTCTATGAACACAATAGAGTATTCCGGGGAATGTCAGAGCTGGAATGGGCCTTAGAACACAGAATGGTAGCTCTGGGAGGGCTTCAGAGGCCATCTAATCAAATCCAATTTCTTTTTTTAGAGATCGAGAGGTGAAGGGACTTGTCCAGGGTCCCACACCTAGCATCCCAAGTGGGATTTGAACCATAACTTTTATTGACCTGACCCCAAGTTCAGTGCTCCAAAAGGCTCCAGAAGACTTCGGTTCAAATCTCAGCACTGTAGCTTACTTATTTCTAGCTCTGTGACCTGGGACAAGTGGCTTCCCTTCACTGGGCCTCAGTTTCCTCTTCTGTAAAAAGAGGGGTTTGGGGGGCAGCTAGGTGGCACAGTGAATAGAGCACTGGCCCTGAAGTCAGGAGGACCTGAGTTCAAATCCATCCTCAGACCAAGCACTTGACACGTACTAGCTGTGTGACCCTGGGTAAGTCACTTAACCCCAATTGCCTTACCAAAAAAAAAAAAGAGGGGTTTGGGGTCAGTGGTCTCTGAGGTCCCTTTTGAGCTCTTAAGCTAGCATCTTCTGTCCTTTGTCCCTTTCCAGGCCTCAGTTCAAAGGACTCTAATCCTTGTTTCTGACATCTTCCTAGGTTTCCGGAACCTACATGTGGATGACCAGATGGCCGTTATCCAGTACTCCTGGATGGGACTTATGGTGTTTGCCATGGGCTGGAGATCTTTCACCAACGTAAATTCCAGGATGCTCTACTTTGCTCCTGACCTGGTGTTCAATGAGTAAGTGTCCCTGGAAGGAAGGGCTTTCTTCCTCCTCTTCCTCTTCCTCCTTCTGCCATGGGCTGCCTCTGATTTTCTTGTATATGGATTTGGAGCCTACCTCCCTCACTTCCCCTCTCTGGGCCTCAGTTTCCTCTTTGGTAAAGTAATGAGAAGGTGGGATTAGAAACCCTCTAAGATCCCTTGTGGCTCCAAATCCTAAATGCTGGGTGAAGGAGCTACCCTGGGCTGAGGAGAGTGGCCGCTTATGTTATCTCACACACACACAGCCCCCCCCCCACCAAAGGATGGAATGTCTGAGGGGTCAGGACAGTAGATGGATAGATCTACCTGGGGAGAGCCTCCAACCCACCTGTCCACACTGAGTGCCAGAGCCAGAACAGGACCCCACCTTTTCTCCTCCTCCGTTAAGAGCAAACCCTCAGCAAGGTGTGACAGGGTATGCTGTGGCATGGAAGAGCAGGAGGAGTAAGGCCCTCTAAGCAGCTCCCTCCAGCAGCAGCCAGGCCACCATCATTTGTGGTCAAGTTCAGCCCTAACTCCCAATAGGCTTCATTCACCATGTCCTGGGCCTGCCCTCTCTTGTTTCTCCTTGGCATTTAAAGAGTTACTTAGAATGCCACTTTCTAGATCAGAGTAGTGGAAAGGGCCAGTTAAGTTGGGGGTTTGGTGCTTCTGTCTCCCACAGGTAAGTTAATACCCTCCCGAGGATTGTTCTTTAGGCCTAACCAGAGTGAGCAGCATCTTGCAGGGACTCCAGTCATGGGCCTTCAGTTGTCTGCTTTTGAGCTCGTTTTCCATTGTCATTATCCCCTACTTCCTTTGGGTAGGCCTGCAGGCACTTCCTGGGATTTCTGGAAATGGCCTTATCCTGTGCTACCCAAAGCCTGCATAGACTGGAGGTTCTGGACATGGCTTATGAGATACAAAAGCTGAATTTCACAGGGGCACAGTGGACTGCCCTTGTGAGCTTTTTCAAGAATCTGCCATCTTTCTGGTGTGGTGAGGGAACATTTTGGCACCAAGGCAGGGGTGGGGGATGCATTAAATCTTCCCATTTTATATTGGCCAACCACTGAGCAAAAGGAGATCAGATGTCCAAAAGCTCTGGCAATTCCGCCTACAGGAGCTAGGCCTAGGCTGGGCCTAGGAGCCCGTGTGGTCTTCCCTTTGGCTTCATTTGATTCCACTTCCTGTCTTCCTCCCAGGAAGCAGGAAGGGGCCCTCAAAATTCCCTCTTTCCCCACCAGCAGAGAGAAGAATCTCGATTAGGATTTGGAAGATCCTGCCTCCAGCCTGCTCTGATAGAATCCCCTTTAGTTAGGTGGGAGGGAATGGGGTGGTAGCAACTGGCTTGGGACCCATGAGCCTCTGTGGCATTTCTCACACCCTCATCCCCTCTGCCTCTCCCAGATATCGGATGCACAAGTCAAGGATGTACAGCCAGTGTGTCCGAATGAGACATCTCTCCCAGGAGTTTGGCTGGCTCCAGATTACACCACAGGAGTTTCTGTGCATGAAGGCCTTGCTGCTCTTCAGTATTAGTGAGTGCTTCTCTCTTTCCCCACCCCCACCCCCAGGTATATTCCCCTGGAGCATCAGAGACCTGACGCTTTTTAACATGGACCTCAGAGGGAGTTTCTTTTTCTATCAAGAGCAAACAAAAGAGCGGATGGTCCTGAAGCACCCCTGATCACCACCATTTTGGTTCATGTCACTGGATGAATCCATTTCACCAAGGTCAGAGCTAGATGAAAGACTTAGGTACCCCAAAAGGGAGCGTGGTGCTGTGGTAAAGAGCTCTGAACTCAGAGTCATGGGAATCAAGGCCCAGCTCTGACAATACCTTTATGACAATGCACAAGCCACTTAACTACTATGTGCCTCAGTTTCCTCCTCTGTAAAATGAAAAGTTTGGTCTAGCTGGCCTCTAATGTACCTTCCAGCTCTAGACCTAGGATCCTATGTGTGACCTTGGGCAAGTCTTTTCCCCTCCCCAGGCCTCAGTTTTCTCCTCTATAAAATGAAGGGGGTAGACTAGAGCTTGCCCCACCCCATCTACTTCTGCCCTTGCCTTATATCACTGATGCTTATAACGATGATGATGAGAATGACAATAATAACTGACATTAATAGAATGCTTTAAGTTTTTCAGAGTGCTTTGCCAATGCTCTCATTTGTCCCACAAGCGCCCTGAGAGGTAGCCAGAGCAGGTTTGATCGTCTCCATTTGACAGCTAGAGAAGCTGAGACTCAGAGCACAGAAGTGTGACTTGCTCAAGATCACACAACTAGTGAATAGCAGAGGCAGGATTGGAAACCAGGTCTTGTGGCTCTGGGTCCAAAGTTCTTTCCACTGTGAAAAGAGACAAAAGGGAAGGGGAGGTTGGAGCCTGCCATCCATAGGTCATTGAGCTCCGTTTTGATTCGTGGCAAAATTCTAGAGGAAGAGTGGGGAACCTGGGGCCTCAAGACCAGATGTGGCCCTCTAGGTCTTAAAATTCGGCCCTTTGACTGAATCCAAACTGCACAGAACAAATCCCCTTAATAAAGGTTTGTTCTGTAAAACTTAGACTCAGTCAAAAGGCCGTATCCAAGGACCTAGAAGACCACATGTGGCCTCGAGTTCCCCACCCCTGGGCTCGAGCATGTTATTAAATTGATGGCTAGTGACCATCTAGAAAGGGAAGCCATGGTCAAGGGTGGGGCATGCCAGACCCACCTCATTTCCTTATTTGACTCGTTTACCAAGTGAGAGGATCAGCTCTTTACCTAAATTTGGGGAAAGTATTTGGCCAAGTCTCTCCTGTTCCTTTTATTTTTTTTTTCTGTTTTTGTTTTTAGGCAATTGGGGTTAAGTGACTTGCCCAGGGTCACACAGCTAGTAAGTGTCAAATGTTTGGTCTGAGGCCGGATTTGAACTCAGGTCCTCCTGAATTCAGGGCTGGTGCTCTATCCACTGCACCACTAGCTGCCCTCTCCTGTTCCTTTTAAAAAGAATACGGAGAGATGTGGGTTAGAGAGTAGTACAGTTGGATGGGTTCAGCACTAGTTGAATGGCCAAACTCAAAGAATGGTCATGTCAACTTGGCAGGTCTCCAGTGGGGTGCCCCAGGGATCTCTGACCGGTCCATTGGTTAACATTTTCATCGGTGGCTTGGATAGAGGCATAGGTGGTACCGTGCTTATTGCTTTTGAAGAAGATGCAAAGCCAGAAGGGATGGCTGACATAATGAATGAAAGTCAAGATGCCAAAAAGATGGGATCTGATAGGGTTAAATGGAAAGTCTCACACTCAGGTCATATAAATCAACTTCAGAAGTGTGAGATTGAGGAGGTATTGTTAGATACCATCTCATCTGATTACCTCTGATAACATCTCATTAAGATATGTGGGTGCAGTGGTGTCAAATTCAAATAGAAACCTGCCACTAAACCTTACAGCCACATATTGACTTAGAAAACCACATGTGATCAATTAATAAACATTTATTAAGTGCCTACTATGTGCCAGGCACTGTGCTAAACACTGGGGATACAAAAAGAGGCAAAAGACAGTTCCTACCCTCAAGGAGCTTTCAATCTGACGGGGAAGACAACATGCAAACAAATATCTACAAAGCAAGCCATAGATAGGATAAATAGGAAATAATTAACAGAGGGAAGGCACTAGAATTAAGAAGGATTGGGAAAGGCTTCCTGTAGAAGATGGGATTTTAGGTGGGATTTAAAGGAAGCCAGGGAGGTCAGTGGTCCAAGTGGAGGGGGAAGCACATTCCAGGCCTGAGGAACAGTCAGAGAAAATGCCCGGAGCCCAGAAATGAAGCATTTTGTTTGAGGAAAGGCAGAAATGATCTGTGGGATGCGGGCATTGGACTAGCTGATCTCTGAAGTTGCATCAAGCCCTAAATCTGGGATCCGATGAATTTTAGAAAATGGGGACAGATCCACTGGGGTCAGCCAGCCTTGGCCATCCCACCCTCACCTCCAGAAAGCATAAGAAGTTCCCATCAAGCTTTTAAATAATAAGAAATGGAATCTTTGGTTTCCCAGCAACAGTAAGCCCTCTGAGCCAACCCCTCCACCCCAGCCACCTTAATTACATCGCTGTGTCCACCCTCTTCTAATGGTCGCTTGGGATTCCTCCTCTCCCCGCTTTGAATTCCTCCCAAATCAGTTCCAGTGGATGGACTGAAGAATCAGAAATTTTTCGACGAGCTTCGAATGAACTACATCAAAGAGCTTGACCGGATAATTGCCTGCAAGAGAAAGAATCCAACCTCCTGCTCACGGCGCTTTTACCAACTCACCAAACTCCTGGATTCCGTGCAGCCTGTAAGTGGTCTGATCTAGCTGGGGAGCGGGGCGAGGGGGAGGAGGGAGAGGACGAGAGGAAGAGGGAGGGGAAAGAGGCAGGGAGATAGTGGGGGAGATGGGAGAGGCAGAGAGAGGGAGGCAGAAAGGGAGTGAAAGACAGAAAGAGAGGGAGGGAGGGATGGAGAGAGACAGATATGGAGACAGAGTGAGAGAAGGAGATAGAGAGGCAGAGATGGGATGGAGAGTGAGAGAAAGAGCAACACAAATTGAGAGAGTTGGAAGGCTAGAGAGAGAAAAAGAAATTGACAGGAAGGAATACAGAAAAGGAGATAGACACAGAGAAGAAGATGTTTTGACCAAATGGTCAAAATAGAAATACAAGCAGACCAATGCATCCGAGCTGGCCATTAGGAACAGAGTTTGGGAATCAGGCAAAGATTTGCAAACAGTTGAATTGTTCAGACTACTCAGATCTGGATTTCCTCCCTTGCTCAAGACTCCTAAATATTGACTAAGGCAGAATACAGGATGCCACCTGGTAGAAGTTGGGGGTGGGGGGTCACTGGTTCTAGAACTGAGGACCTTCGAAAGGCACAAGGGATTCCTTGAGAGTCTTTGGAAGTTCAAGGGAGAATGTTTGATACCTATCATCCCTTAGACTCTGGGAGAAAGGGAGCTAAGGTCTGAGATGATTCAGTCGTGCCCAGTAACAAGGGCCCAGAGGGACAGGAGCCCAGGCCTCCCCTGCCTGACAGCCTGGCTGCCTGCCTACTTGTGCCCCCATAGGGAGTTGCTTTGAGGAGGATGAATGAAGGTAGGGCCTCATATTCCAACCTCCCTCTCCTACCCTCTTCCCATTCCAGATTGCCAGAGAACTGCACCAATTCACTTTTGACCTACTAATCAAGTCACACATGGTGAGCGTGGACTTTCCTGAGATGATGGCAGAGATCATCTCCGTACAAGTGCCCAAGATCCTTTCTGGAAAAGTCAAGCCCATCTACTTCCACACACAGTGATGCTTTGCAAGCCCTTCTTTCCTTCCCCCTTTTCTGCCATCTTTTGCCTGTTGTAATTCTGCACTACTGTTCTGCAGTGCCTTGGGGAATTCCCTCTATTGATGTACAGTGTGTCCTGGAGATAGTCCTAACTCCTTACTACCTTCTAAGCTTCTCTTCCCTTCTGCCCTGTCCTCCCTCACTGCCGTCCTCTGTTCCACAGCCTCCTTTTTGCCTCTCTTCTTCTAACTTCCCACCTACCTTAGCGCCTTCTGACTGCTTAGTCTGACTGGTGCAGTATCTCTTTGAATATGTGCCGCTAGTCCTGTGGCCATGCCCAGGCCAGTCATGTCTTTCTGATGGCCACATGGCCGTTTTCTTCACTTAACACCATGACAAATCTTGGGTATTTAAGGGGACAGGAAGAAAACCTCACTGCAGTTCCCCTCCCTTAAAAGACAAACACACAAACACCCACACACAAACCAACAACCCCAAGTATTTCCTGGGGGATATGTGGGTGTATGTGTGTGCTAGCATTTCTCACCTGGAGCACCCACTCTGCCACCAGTGGCCTTCAGGAGATTTCCCCAGTGATGGACCTGGGGAGGGGAAAGAAGAGGAGCCCCATCCCTTCACATACTTACACACATACACACACACACACTGAGCATGTACGCATACATATGTGCATACCCATACATCTAGTTTTGGTCTTTGGATGATCAGAAAGTCCCACTGCAGTGCACTTAATGGTACTGAATCTGCTTTTTGTCCAAAACTTTGCTCTGATATTCTTTGTCTGCTCTGTGCATGTGCCATGCAGTGCCCTCCCCAAGTGCTCCCTGTACCCCGCCCTTTCCTCCCTTCTCTCCTTTCTTCACTGCCCCAGCCCTCAGGAGAGGAGACCATTCCACATTGGCTTTCAGCAGCTACTGAGAGCTTTGGACATTCCCTCATGCTAAAACTCAAACCTGAGCAGGCATGGAAGAGGCTGAAATAAGGTTAGCTCAGTGGGAACCTCTCTGTTCTCCAGCTCTGTCTTGCCTTGGGTGTGCCAAGAACAAATTGTGGGCTATCCCTGGGGACAAGAAATGGAGCCAGCCACCTTCTGAGCCCAGGGTAAGCATAGGTGCCACTGGGCGTTCCCCCTGCTCAAGGCTTTTGCCCATCCTTGTTTGCCCACCTCCTCCAAAGACCCAACGAAGTTCTCCACCTCACCAAGGCCCTAGGACCCCCACTTCCCTTCTTTCCCCTCTGGGTCTGGTCACTAAGTTCCACTTTGCTTATGGGATGTGACTTACTCCCTGCCCCAGCATCTTTACCCAGACTTTCTGATGAGAGTTACAACCAAGAAGGCCAGTAGGCTTTGAGCACTCTGTCTGCCTGCCCTGAGGCCAAGGGACTCCCGACAATGGCTGATTGGCACCAACAGTCTCAGATCCGGAGCATCTTTTGATCAACTGGAAAGAGTTAGAGTCATGAGCTAGACTGCTGAAACTGGCCATCAGCAGACAACATGGACACCTGACCAGGCTCTGTACTGGCCAAAGGCAGGGAAGCTGGTACACATGGGAAGATCCCATCGTCCAGCTCTTGTAGAGGGCTTTGGGAGCTGCAGTAAACACTCCCTGACACTTTGGAATCAAATCAGTGAGTGGCCAGGGCACAATATGAGAACAAAAAGTGGATATGCCAGGACCAAGACCACTGGTAGAAACTGGCAGTTGGCAGTGAACATCCCCCAGATGCCCTAGTCAGCCCAGATCATCACTCACAGTCTACAGCAAAAGAGGACACTCCAAGAGGAGGCTGGTCTGCAGCATGAGTGGAGCAGGGTGAAGGCAGAGGCTAGGAGGGACAATACCCACTGCCTGCTTATGCCTGGCCATGGTATTGGCCACTTGCCAGGAGGATTGGGGGAGGTAGGGGAAAATCTCCCTCTAAGGACAGACTCTCTGTTTTCATTCTGCTCATCCGGGGTTAGCTGGAGCCCTTAAGACTTCCTCTGAAACCAGTGCCTCTTTTGCAAAGGGGGTCTTTGCAGCCACCTGCGCAGTCAGGGTTCCCAGCTGGGATGGTGCCCTTCAGAGGACCTCCTCCCATTCTGATGACTTTTGTGTATCCCCCAGCCCTATACCCCACAAGGCCTTATTGCTACAGGGGAGCTTTGCCCACCTCCCCTTCTGAACCCCTATTGCTTTCTCCACCTGTTAAGTTCAAGATGTGGGAACCATCAAACCGCCAGCCTTGGCTAACCTATCATTATCACATTTATGGAGAAGATAGCTCCAAAAATCTCGAACCAGCAAGGGTGTTCTATCCTGATTTCTGAAGTTTTACCTGTAGGCTTCTTTGAATATGGAGAGGGAAGGGAGCCTGAGATCAGTCGTTGCTACTTTAGCAAGCCCAGCTGGGAAAAATGCAAGTGGATGGGCTCCCTTTCTGTGGGAGAATAGGCAGATCCCAGTTTTCTTTATCACAGTAACATGTGGTTTATGTAAACTCACAGCATCATTTCTAACTGTTTTTAATGGAAAACAAACCAAAACCCCCCCCCAAAAAAACCAAAAGGAGTAATTCACCACTCTTTTCAGTTAAACTAGGTTACATTTTAATAGTTTCCTTTACTACTAACTGTTTCCAAAAGGATATTTATCTTTTGGCTTTATTTCGTTCCTTGTAAATACTAGAGATGCTCGTCTTCATTTCTGAGTACCAGCTTTTTCATCTTTGTGGATTTCCTGATTAAATCTTGTCTATGTGAACATATATATATATATATACACATATATATATACATATATATACACACACACACCTATATATATAATTTTAAAGCCAAAAATACAAGAAATAGCAGTATAATTAACAAGCAGCTATAACTGGATGACTCTGGCTTAAGAAATGACACCAAGTCCAGTTTGAGTAAAGCCGTGCACACTGAAATCCATTTCCTTGAGCTTTGGTTTGGGAAGAAAGAACATCCAAAGCTGCAGGGAAAGTCTGGTTTGGCTTCTCCCTGTCTCTGCCCTCTCCTCCTTCCCCCCTAGGTCAAAGGGGGATGGCTTTGGTTGGGGGGGAGGCTGTTTTTGTTTTTGTTTTTGTTTTGATCATTGTTGGAGTTGCGGCAATTGTCTTTGGGAAGGAAGGCTTTTGTTTTGCAAGTGCTCAACATGATGCAAAGACTTACTAGGGGCTGAGGCCCACTCCAGGTGTCGAAGGACAAGAAGCCGTGAGGCCAGCCTCACCATTCTCCATGGCATTGCCCTGCCAAGCAGAGACCCCCCCAAGAGTGAGCCAGGGGGTGCAAAAGGAAGGCCAAAGAAGAAGAGACTTTCCGGGGCAGACAATGGGTGTCCCCTGTAGCTGTGCATTTTGGCCAGTGTGGCATACTCAGTATCGAGCAAGGAAGATCCTCTTTCCTGTCTCAGCCATTGTCTGCATGGTGCCCAGGTGTGGTGCCAGGCCAGCCTCTGATCTGGGGCAGGGCTTGACCTTTTGGCTTGCAACCTTTTCTGTGCCCTCCAGTAGTCATCGACACTTGGAATAGTTCAATTGCTTTTTCTTTATTTCTTTTTTTAATTACATTACTCTGAGAAAAAAAATTTTTGGAAGATCCTATCATGTATCAGCAGTGCATATATCTTTTCTATATGTTCACTGGGATTCTAAAAAAGAATAGAAAAAAAAAAGTTCTCCAACTTGCCCATTCGGCAGTTGCTGAGGTAACTGTCAGGCTTGGGAAACGGCATTGTGCTGATGCTGCCCTGGCCTACCCTCTGTCCATCCAGCCACACAGATATGCACACAGACCTCTAGATGGAGTCTTCTGGGCCTTCTGAGGCAAGAACAGACCTCAGTGCACATGGACATGACATGATTCCAATGGCCTTACTTTGAGTTGGTCCTGTGAGTAGCCCACAGACAGACACTGTCTTAGCCTCCTAATTCTGCTCAATCCTGATGGCACCCAAGGTCCTGGTCCCCTCCTTCCTTCTTTGCCCAAACCCCAGCACTTTTGTCACCATCCACGCTCCTAGTTATTCTCTCCATCTGTGTCTCCCTCTGTCTTTCCTCCCCTTCCTTCCTTCTTTCCTTCCCTTTCCCCCTCTCCCTTTTTCCTTCCTCTTGCCCTTTCTCCCATCCTCTCCATCTCCTTCCCTCTGCTTTCCCCTGCACCCTGCAACCCCACCCTCATCACGCACATGACCCAGTCCCCTCTAGGTGAGAGGACCCTTGGCCCTATTGGGCTCCCACTCAGCCCTGTCCCACTGCCTGAGGTGGGGAGGGGTGCGCAGGAATGTTCAAGCACAGTTTGAAAGTCCAAAGCTGGACACTTACTATAATCGTGGTGGATGTGTGGTTTCTTATGAAAGGAAGTTGGCCTTTTATAGGCAGCTGGACTGTTGATATTCATCTCTTTGAAGGTAGTTTCAAGCAGGAGAGAGCAGGAGAAATGGATGCACCATTCTATGTAGCCAAAGACAACAAATGTATTTGCTAAGATACCAAAACTGTTAGGAGAGAGAGAGAGAGAGAGAGAACGAGAGAGAGAGAGAGAGAGAGAGAGAACGAGAGAGAGAGAGAGAGGCCGCTCTTTGATAAGGCAGCCAAAGTCAAAAGGACTTGGCTGATGACTCATTTACAAGATATTTTTTCTTTCACAATTTACACATTTAGAGAAGTTAAATATAATTTGGAGGAAAAAAAAACTGGGTTTCTGGGTCCTTTGATACGTGATTTTTTTTTCAAATTAGCTGAATTAGCTTTTATTTTTCTTTTAGTAGCTGCTGAGCAAATCCCCGAAGCTCCATCGTTGCATGTTTGAAAATGGAGCTGGGTTTGGCTTTTGCATCTGCTGGCATCAGTGTCTAGCATAGCTAAAGATGTGAAGCCCTGCTGAGAAAAGGGTGCATTCAAAAGGACAGGATTTGCACTAGAGGGACAGACAGCAGGCAGAATCTCCCATTTCTGCCCACTGAGATGGCGCACCGAATTCTCTGTAGTTTGCCGCAGAGGGTTGAAATATATTGTAAATGAGTATTTGTATCCATGTTTCAAAATCGAATTTTATATATAGATATAATGTGTTCTGCTCCTTTTGCCTTTTGCTTTGCCATCCACATTTGGTTCCAGGTACTAGCAAGAGGCGTTGCCTTGGTTCAGAGGTCCTCTCAGGGTGGACAGGATGCTTGAGTTGTCTGGCCGAGAGGTTCGGGGAGGACAGTGGAGGAGGGAGGGAAGGAGAGAGGGAGGGAAGAAGGGGAAGAGAGTCGTTATCATACCTTGTTGGCCCACGCATGTGCAACAGGTGTGGTGCGGACTCATTGAAACCTCAGGGAGATTTGTTGGGGATCTGGGGAAAGGAGAAAGATGAGGGGTGTTCCAGCCTTCCCTGAATCACGAGCCAGCTCCAGCCCCACCTTCTGTCCAAGTGGGGAGTGAGTGTGGGGAAGGATCAGAAAGAAGGAAAGGGAGAGGGCTAGGGTGCTCCTTTGGCCTACCCGTGCCACCAGTCCCGTGGAGTGCTGAGGCAAAGGGGCACGAACAGTGAACTCAACGCCGTCGAGTTGCTCTTGCTATATATTGGGTGTCTTGTGCTCTTAATTCTGGTTTTGGAGACTTTCTGTAAAGATTATGGCAAATGAAATTGTGTTTTCTCTGTTAACCTGTCTCTGTAATAAAGCTTCCTTTCCATAGGTAGAAGGGGCTCCTCTGCCTATAGGGATTTTCACTTCTATTAATTTCTTGCTGGGGCCTGTTGCCCGGAGTAACTCAACCCACCACCATTTCTAGAGGAAGGCAGAATAATTCCCCATCAGTCATTTGTCTCAAAGGCCTTGTTCTAGTCCCAAGAGCAGAAAAACAGTCAGGATCCCCCAGCGGGAAATGATAGGTGATTTCAAATACTAGTCAGATTTTCAAATAGAATGATGCAGGGTTTGCTTTGATTTTTTTTTTTTTTAGATTTTTCCCCCTCACACAATTTGATTGAAACAATAAACAAATTATCATGCGTTGATTGCTTCCCAGTTCAGTTGAGCGGGGAGGCCAGTTCCATCCTGGCTCCTCTCTGCATTTGGTATTGGTGTGGCCCACCTAGGTCTGGAATACCCCACCCAACCCCCTGCAAAAAAAAAAAGGAAAACAAGAAACTTTTTGGATCCACAGGAATAAGTAAGAGTAAACCTCTTGGCCTCCAAACTGATTGCTATCCTCACCCTCAGGGCCCTTCAAAAAAAAAGAAGAAAAAAACAAGCAAATGCTAGCCCTGAGTGCTAACTGCCCTACAGAGAAGTGCCCCTTGGGGTCTGGGCCCCCAAAAGCCTGCTTTGGGTATCACCATTTGGAACCCTCTCGTCAACCCCCAGAATGGAACTTTGGGAATGACCTGAGAATACCAGGTTTGAATTTGATGGGGGAGGAGGGGGGGAATAATTTACTGAATTAAGAATTTTTGTTGTCCAAAAATGTGGGAGTGGAGGTTGAGAGGAGGATAGAAATGGATTGATTGTGCTTCGAAATGTCTTTTGGTGGGGCCTCAGTTCTCACAAAGCCTGCCCTGGACCTCTCAGTCCCCAGCTCTCTAGTGTTCAGCTCTTTTGTAATCTTGGAATATTTTGTTGCTCTGAATACAATAAAAAAAAATTAAAAAACTCGGCAGAAGCTCATTTCTTGGGGGTCCACCTGCCTACCCACCCTCCTGAGGTTTGTCTCCTGCCTGGTCTCCTTGGTAGCATTCCTCAATATGGAAAGTCTCAGCAGGCCTGTAGGCCAACAACAACTTGGCCAGGGCCTACCATTATGGCTCTGAGATCAATCTATTCCTCACATTGAGGTCTGGGGAAGGTTGTCTAATGGCCCCTTATCTCAGTTGTTAATTTGTTTAAACATAAAAGTGATCAAAAATTGCAGATAAATGTCTTCAGGTTTTTTTAATTAACTCTTTTCCCGTGCTATTTTCATTGAAGCTGAGAGCTGGTATGATGCCCAGTGGCCTTTCATGTTATTTTCATTTTCATTTTTTTTAATTCTTTGCTCAGGGGGTTATAAATTCCCCCTGCCCTGACTTCATTATGAGGCTGACCTGGGACCTTTGAATAATCAAAGGCTCAGGGCTGAGGAGCCCACCTCGGAGTTGAAAGGCCTAGATGGAACTTGGCCCAGCTTCAGGACTTTCCATTGGGAAACTGAAGAGTCTTGTAAACCAATAGGAAAAAGGATGTGGTGGTAACTTCCCTGACATTGGGGGGCTGGGAGACAGCAGGGGCTCTGCCAGGTCCCCTAGGAGAGCCAGGCCTCAGGGGGAGGCCATCCCCCACCTTTCCAAAGGCTCCTAGTCATCACCGTCCTGACTCCCTGGGGAAATATCCACTCACCAGAGTAAAGCCACTTCTGCCACCACCCATTGAGACCTAAAGCCTGAAAGTGTCCCTTTCCCTCCCTAAGCCTCAGTTTGCCCGTCTGTAAAACAAAAGGGTTAGACTGGCTGAGATCTTAAGGGACAAGGATCAGCTTTATCTAGAGAAGGCTACCCGTATGGTAGAATTTCAAAGTTATAGAGAAGTCCCATATAGCTGGAATTCTACCCGTACAGCTAACTTCATTCCTTTAGCTTGAGTTTGTCCTGTTAAATAGACCACCTCCTACCTTCCAGGTTGACATGTAAGGTGCTTCCAGAGGCAACTAGGAGCACAATAAACGCTGTGCTTGGCCTGAAGTCTGGAAGCTGGCAGTTCAAATCTAGCCTCAGACATTCAGCTGTGTGACCCTGCACAAGTCATTTCACCTGTCTGCCTCAGTTTCCTCACCTATAAACTGGTATTCATAATATCACCTACCTTCCTGGGTCGTTGTGAGGATCAAATGAGATGTTTGTAAAGAGCTTGGCTAACCTTAAACTACCAACTCATTATTTTCAATCATTGACATCTCAGTATAGTTGAGTTTCTTAGACTTTTCTGTTAAAAGTTCAGTTCTGGTAAGGAAAGCCCGATCAAATGTTATGGGGTATTTAGCAAGGAGGAGGGAGAACCCGAGCACACCAGAGATGTCTTTGCAGACTTCTTATCTTTTACCTTTGGCCCATAGACCCAACCAATGGGCCACTTTGTCTGGTCCTATTCCCTAAGCAGCTTTCCACCCTCAGTGTCTAGTGCTGGTTAATGTCAGGCCTTCTGAGGATTTGTGGTAGAGGCAACCTGACCCCCTCCCCCCTTCCTAACTGTATCATATGCCTTCCTAAGGCAAGGAGCAAGTGGGAGTGGAGGATAAGAAACCTTGACTATGGCCAATCTGGGAAGTTTCAAAGGATGCTCTTAGAATCCCATGCCCACCTCTTCCCTTAAGAAAATGGATTGTGGCCCCTGCTCTCTTAAATGTCAAAGTCAAGGCAGGGCAGACAGGATAGCATAGTAGCTATCCCCCACCCCCAACGAGGCCAGTGAAAACCAGCTACAAAATGTTGAGAAGGTTGGGTTGAGTTAATCATTCTAGGAACATGAAAGACAAGCTGGATCCTTACAACCTGTAGATTCTACGTTGTGTCTTGGGACCATGAGCCTGGGGTTGTCTGGTAAATGATCAACAGCCAGCTTTCCCCAAAAAAAAGTGTGCATAGGGCACACTTTACAATTTCATTTGCATTATTACCATTTTCTCCATCACTTTCTCAAGTCCAGCTTATAAACAAAACAATCTATCAAGCCCATATTTGACCTGTTTGCTGATTTCTGGGGTATAAATGCTCACACTGAAAATTGACCAATCAGCACTTAGAGCTGGCTGTACCATCCTCTTCCCAAAGCTGTTGATGAGGCATGAACAGCAGGAAATATCTCTGTCGTCAGCATCAACATTCTAGGGATAGGGCTATAGGGAGGAGGGAGACGAGACTGCTTCGTGGTCGACAAACGAACATTTTTAAGTGGCTGAGCTCCTCTACAATGACTCTCCCTACCCTCAAGGAGCTTGCAATCTGAAAGGTTAACAAGACAGCATGTAACGACTAATAGACAAGGAAGACTGCGATGAACAATACAGTCATAAGAGCCTAGATCTCATGCTGAAAGTCACCTTTAGAGATGATTGGGTCTCACCTCAGTTTATTGAGGAAACGGGCCTAAGGAAGGAAAGTGGCCAAGAGATGGAAGAGGCCTCAGAGGCTTCCTTATTTTACAGATGAGGAGACTGAGTCTCAGAGGAAAGTGAAGAGATCTGTCCAAGGTAGTAAATGACAGGCAGATTTGGGGCCCAGATTTGGGGAGGAGGACACAGCGTGTATAGCAATGAGTAGGTTTGCTGCTATTTCAGCAGACATAGTAGTAATAAGCCAATGGGAAGACCTGAGTTCAAATCCAACTTCTGACCTACCAAGTTATTTCACATCTCAGTGCTCCCCAGGCAACTCTCTTAAGACTAAGTTTGAAGAGCAGGTGGTGATTTGCATTGGCAAAGGGTGTGTCCTCACTGAGAGTTCCTGACACTGATTAAATCACAATTCCTAGGACCCAAAACCCAAGACACTTATCCCTTCCACATCGCAACTTTCCCCATCACGGTTTTGATATATCATGGGTTGGAATAAGAAATTAAACGAGAAGATGGGAGGAGTCTTGCAGAAGCTGCAGACATGTGAAGGTCAGCAGACAACAGAAAAAGTTTAGAAACTCAGAAATGCATAAGGTATATGTATAGTAGTGTATAATATCAACATATTCTATCTTTTAATACCATAATAATTAAGACTTCTTCTCTGATACGAAGGGAGAGCCAAAACATTTTTCATGGATTTTCCAGATCACAGGGGTACCATGCCCTTAACCCCCACCTTGTGGAAGGGACAACTGTACTCATTCCACTGTACTGTAACATCTCTCAGTCTTCTCTTTGTCCTGAAAGTTTCCTTTCAGATATATTCCAGTCTATCCATTGCTTACCTAAAATGCGGTTCCCCAAACTGAAAACAATCTTCCACATGCAGCCTGACCAAGACTGAGGACAGTGGGGGACTGGGGCCTCCCTTGATCTGACGCCATATGCTTCCATTAATGCAGTCCAAGATTACATAGCTTTCCTGGTTTCTATGTCTCACTGTTGATTCTTAAGGTACTCAAATCCACACTGACTGATAAGAACCTTATAAACAAGGACATGAGCCATCCTATGAATTATTTTCTTTCCAATAAACCACCCGACATAGAAGGTGCAGCCAAGAGTCAATTACCCAGAGACCTCTGGGCTCTCCCCACCCTCTTCATTTCTTCCTTTGCTTATCAGCTCAGTCACCACTCCTTCATTGGAGCATCTGGGCTCAGCCCTGTGCTAGGTCATGGTGTGGAGGGTTTGGGGTTTTCAAAGACTGAGCACATGCTGTAAGTGGGCTCCCCAAGTTGCAAAGGAACCTGGACCTAGTGATGAACCTCATGTCTATTAGCCAAAGATTAGTGTAACAGTTCATGGGACTAGAGATTTAGAGCTGGAAGGGACCTCAGATGTCATCTCCATTTTGATCATTTTCATCCCTATCATCTCAAGTTCAACCCCTTTATTTCTGAGATGAGATGACTGAGGCCCAGAGAAGTTAAGTGACTTTCCAAGGTCACATAGCAGGTGTGTGAGTCAGGATTTGGGTCCAAAGTTTCGTGACTCCCAATTCCAGCACCCTATCCACTACATTGGTTCAAAGAAGTTCCCTACCAGTTGATCCCAGGATGAAAAATTAGGCCACAACAACTATCA